TCGGCTCTCATTCAGACCTGCATTTGGCTGCGGAGCTCGGCAAGACTCTCCTCGAACGCAACAAGGAGTTGGAGGACTCCCTCCAGCAGATGTACATCAACAACGAGGAGCAGGTGCAAGAGATCGAGGTACGGCAGCGAAACGTCTCTCCGAGCATCCGGTTTTTTCTTTCTTTATTCCTTACATCCGTGTTTACTTTTTCATGTTTCAAGTCGGTGATTGAAAAGGTTTTTATTGGCGTTTTACATAACTAAAGATTTGTATTATTATTTTAAACCATAGCCTTTTTTTCTCTTCAAACTCATTTAGAACAGAGTTTTGTTTTTATTTAACTGAATCGATTTACTTTAATCATTTAGTCAGTTCTAGTTTCAGCGAGAAGGTCCTAGGTTTGAACCCTGCTGACAAATGTTTGTGGTTGCTTTGGTCAAATAGCTCTTCGTGTTTTGTCGTGTTACGCACGCACGACGGGACCGGAGTGAAACGATGTCCTCTCAGGACGGACGTTTTGCGTAAATCGCTGCCCCGCCACCTCTTCACGCCATCGAACGTGCTTCCCTTCGCAGTACCTGTCCAAGCAGCTGGAGATGCTGAGGGAGATGAACGAGCAGCACGCCAAGGTGTACGAGCAGCTGGACGTGACGGCACGAGAGCTGGAGATCACCAACGAGAAGCTGGTGCTGGAGAGCAAGGCCTCGCAGCAGAAGATAGACAGGTGACCTTTGACCTCCTGCAGCCCACAGTGAGACGGTCAGAGGAGACGCGCGTCGGCGCACGCTGAGATTTAACAGCTATTTTCCGAAGAGTATGAGGAAAACGTTCTAGCCTGTTGAAGAAGAAAGGGGGAACTTCAGCAGCAGCATTGATTTCCCTCATGCTCATAAACCCGTTAAAGCGATTTCAGAGCCGCTGACCTGCACAGGGCTGGTATTTCAGAGATCAGGGAAGTTGTTTTTTCTTCTTTTTTTTTTTTTTCTTGTTGCTGCTGCTCCTCTTGCGTAACCGCTTGCAGCATGTTCAGAAATGTCCCTAATCAGAGAGATTAGTCATTTACAAATCATGTCACTGGGGCTAACGGCTAATTTTAACCCCCCTCCTCAATAGCTGCCTCTGTTCTTTCCAAGCTGATTGATCCCAGTTGTGTTTGTGCGCTCAGGTTGACGGGCACCATGGAGACCCTGCAGAGTCAGGTGGACGGTCTGACGTCTCGGGTGGAGGAGCTGCGGACCCTGGAGGAGCTGAGGGTGCGCAGAGAGAAGAAGGAGCGGCGCAAGACGGTCCACTCGTTCCCCTGCCTCAAGGAGCTCTGCACTGCTCCCAGGTTGCCGGCTACAGCACACGCCGCAGTTTCTCTTTGCTTTATTTCTGTCCCAATAGGTCACTAGAAACTTCGTCTTAAGGAAACTTACAAGACAAACTTTGAGTCGTATTCGTTAACTGGAACCTTGTTCAAACCTTCCAAAAATAATACAGTTGCATGCAGATCAAATTATAGCATCCAGACCAGAGGACCGTTCAGTTCGTAAAAACTGATCCGTCTTTCAGGAAGCCCATCTGATCGCACACTGCGACAGGCTGAACATAATCAGACGCAGAACCAGATTGTGGATGTATAATATATCATGAAGGGCTTTTGGATACAAGAATGTTCTTATTGACAGGCTTTGCATGTAGTAGTTTTATTACAATGAAGCACACTCCATGCATTTGTTTCTAAGCCAGAGTTGTGACCCTTTCTTTAGATATGAGGACGGTTTCCTCTTGGCCAACCCTGGCAGCGTCGACCTGGTGGAGCGGCAGCCTTTCGACGAGGAAAACGACCGCCTCAGAGACATTGTGTCCTCCCTGCACTCGGCCATGGCGCTGGAGCGGTCGAAGCGGGAGAGCGTGGAGAGGGAGTGCGCCGTGGTGCTGCAGGAGTTCGAGCAGCTGGAGCAGCGTCTGCTGGGCGCTGAGGGCTGCAAGCTGCGGGTCCAGGAGCTGGAGGCCGAGCTGCTGGAGATGCAGCAGCTCCGGAAGTCCAGGGTGTGTCTCATCGGAGACATGGAGGACGGCTTGGAGACGCTGCTCGGCAACGGCCCCGAGACGGACACCCCGGAGGAGGAAGGCGGACAGGAGGAGGGGGGCGAAGCCGGGCAGCAAGGCGGAGGCCCGGTGCGGAAGAGCTGCAGCGACACGGCCCTGAACGCCATCTCGGCCGCGTCCGGCCGGCGCCAGGGCGGGTACCCGCTTCAAGGCAACGGCGCCCGCAAACGGGGGATGTCCATCCTGCGGGAGGTGGACGAGCAGTACCACGCCCTGCTGGAGAAGTACGAGGAGCTGCTGGGGAAGTGCAGGCGCCACGAGGAGACTCTGTGCCACGCCGGGGTGCAGACGTCACGGCCCGTCTCCAGAGACCCCTCCATGAGGGAGTACAGCATGAGCCCAGCGGAGCCTTCCACGTCCGGGGCCGCTGGGCCCCCAACGCCTCCGCAGACCCCCTCCACCCCAGAGGCGCTGGAGGGGATCAGCAGGCAGGTGGAGCAGGTGGACAAGCGGCTGAGTCAGAACACGCCAGAGTACAAAGCGCTGTTCAAAGAGATCTTCTCCCGGCTGCAGAAGACCAAGAGGGACATGAACTCCCCGAAGAGCCGAAAGACTCACAAATAAAACTGAACTCCCCTCCACCCTCCGGAGAAGAAACTAAATGCACTGAGAAAAGCTCAAGCTAACTTACAAAGCATTACCTCACAGTTCAGCTGCTGACGTATAGGAAACACTACTTATTCATGTAAAACTGCCAAATGTTATTTTGCTGCGCAGGGGATCTCTTACAGGCCCGAGATCAGAAGGCACAGATGGTTTTGTTTCAATTTTGTAATCGAGATGTCAGAGTGATTGACTATTTATTTCAATAAGCCAAATGAACCTGAAGCAGAAAGTGTGAGGGGCTCTGGGCATTTCAAGCATGTACTTGTTTATAACATCACTAAATGCTTAAAAAAATAAATATCACAAGCTTTAAAACTGAAGCAAATCTTAATGTTTTATATTTAATTTTGTTTTCCTGGATAGGAATTGCTGATTCAGAGAATCAGCAATTAAATTATATCTGAAGTTTACTTGCACACACTGCAGGACCACAACTATTCATACAGCCTCTAATATCCCCTGAAAAGGTCTTTAAGTACATTTAATTGAGGTCAACACATTCAGCAGTTAAGATTTCAGTGACTCGATTATTTTAAAACAGGTTAAAAGATGTACAGAAAATATAAAACTTGTGCATCAATGTTTTTTCATGTTTCATATTTTGTATAATCACTGAAACCCAGATATTTAACATAACACAAATCTCAGAATCATGCCATGTCTGATCAGATCTACGCAGGAAATCATGAATTGAGACCAGAGTACTGGATGATAATCTAAAGTCATTTCAATGCAACTTCTGCAGTTTGAAACAAAGAGACACACGCGCACACCCAGTCTGAACACTTTAATTTGAACACCAGCGATCCGTAAACTGTAGGCGATACAGACAGCACACAATAAGTTTAACCCACCGCACTGAGAAGAGCCGTCAGCCCCGTGACACGAGCTAAACGAGGCCAAACTGACGTTCATTTACATATGGAGTGTATAAAACGAGAAAACACTTAGCATGGCCTGCTGTGTTTTCAACCAGTAATGCGCTTAAAGGCTGAGGTTTAGATACTGATTGAGAGACGATGAGTCTGGAGGCACAGTCAGCAGAAATAATCTCCAAGTCGTAACGTTTGTTGTTGTCCAACAAAACATGTAATGGAGTAATGAAACTTAAAGTAAAGACAAACTCTTAGCTCTGATTCCATGTGTTAAAACAGGCTCACATTCTCAGAAGGCAAATGGCTCAACTATTTTTCTAGATCTTCATAACTGCTATTAAGGCCACGTAGATGCTAATAGAAAAAATAATTATAAAAAAAAAACCTGATTGGGTGAGAACAAGCCACAGCTAAAGCTAAATGGGGCCTGTGGCGTCGTTAGAGGAAACCGTTTCCCCTGTTCTCTGAGTAGATTATATCAAGATCCAAACTATTTGGAAGTCCAACTAGTTTTAACGAGACCCAAGAACGTATAATCTGCTCAGAGGCTTTAGCTGGGGTCTGTCCAAGAGTTACGTCCAGCAGTGATTGCTAAATGAGCGCTAGCAGGCTTTCTGCACGCTGCTGCCCGAGGCAGACCATGATGATTACACAGAACAATGACAAATGTTAGGAAAAGAAAGAATCAATAGTGCAGGGGGAGGGAAATCCTACACGGCTGGGTTTTTTCCACCGTTTTCTCTTGTATAACAAATTATCTTGAAAATCTGGATTTCTCTATTTTTGAGGACTTAATACTTTATCCGAAAAGGGTGGGTGTAAACAAATTAATTGTTACAGTTGAGGGAATGATGATGAACAACGTGATTAAAAGCTAGAAACAAAAGGTGCGAGGGCAGAAGGGAGGGATGTGATGAAGGACGGAGAGAGCAGAAGCCTAAGACGATAATGCGGAGAGAAATCCTGGAATGACAGCGAGACGAGGAAAGGTTGGAAAAACGCCGAATAAGGAGGAAAGTGAACGAGACGCGGCGGAGAAAAATCAGTCTTTCCAGTCCTTCTTAATAGCAAGGCTCCACTCCCAGGAGAGATGGTCGTACTTGTCGTCGTCTGTGAATTTGGACTTGATGTTGTAAGTGCCGCGGGCCAGCATCCCTTTGGGGGCTTCCTCCAGGGTAGTGAGGAACTCGTATTCCTCGTCCGGTCTCGGGCCGTAGCTTCCCACCATGTAGTCCGACTTATCAACTGCACACGAGACAAGGAGACAAAGGAGAAAGTGGCATGAGCAAAACAACCAGAATCTAAAAAAGGACCATCCTTCTGATCACTTTTCTACTCCACATAAGATACTGACAACTCAGAAACAATACAAACAATCCCACCTTCCAATATAAGTAACTCTACATAGAGGCACCTGAACAAGTAAAAGTTCATTTCTGTAATTGAATCCAAAAAGAACTCATTGAATCAGGAAGCAGGATGCATATTGGATTCTGATATTCCTCCACCTACACTAGACCTCTGATGGCTTTAACTTTGAATTGCAACCAACTTAGAATAATAATAATAATAATAATAATAATAATAATAAAGAAAACATCTTTACCTTTGACTCCTTTCCTGAATGTTTGCTGATTGTATCTCAGGCCTGAAACAATCTCTTTGTTCACCTGCAAAAAGCATCACGCATTAAGCCATCAGCTTCAAGAATTAAAAAAAAGAAAAAGAAAAGAATCACCACCAATTTCAAAACAACATCCAGCTGTTTTAGACTGACGGAAACACACAGACTAACAGCAGCCATTACCTTGAAGTTGATCTTTATTCTGTATTCAACTCCCTCCTTCAGTGTAAATGGGTGCTTCTTGAAGTTCTCCAGGTCTCCTGGAATGTAGAAAATAAAAGTAAAATGAATTTGATACATCTGAAAAACTTTTCTAAACACTTGGAGCAAATTGCTTCGTGATCTAAAACATTCTTCATTTTCGTGAGGTGGGGAGTGCACTGTCCACCAGGAGGCGCAGTGAATAAAAACTTGTTATAACCCATTTTGACCACTGAGAGGGGACAAAGTGCCCCATCAGGAAGTGGCTAATTAACCCACTTCCCTAAGAATCTCCTCATTGCTAATTAGTAGACTAATGACGCAGCGTCTAAATTTGCACAGAGGGAAGGGACTGCTTACAGCCTGCAGCCATTGGACTTCCTTTAGTATGAGGGCAGAGGAAATGCTCCTCCTCCTGCCCTCTGACCTCTAAAACCTTCAGCTGAGCAGTACTTACCCTGCAGGTCAAGGATCAAAGGAGCGGGTGCATTTTCACACATCAGTGTCATCCGTGTCACCTGGACATTTGGTGCACTGGGATCTAGTAAAGAGAAAAGTTCAATAAATGATGGGTATTGAGTGTTTCCATCTCTAAAAGAACTCATTAGGCAACATCTTTTTCAGCTGATTATTTGGACATCATATTGTTGTTCTTCAGACACATCCTGAGGACTGTTTTCTTTTTCAGCCACACAAACAAATAAATTCCACATGCCACAGAAGTTAGTTTTTCTTGGGGGTGGGAAGGGAATCTTACAGACTAGGACATAACAAATACAAATTAAAATCAGAAAATGTGGTGTGCAATTTATATTCCCTCTAAATCAATAATTAGAACCACCTTGTGGTGTCATAACAGCTCCAAGTTACTTCTGGTTTCTCTCTGCATAGACAGAGGGACATTTTTGCCTGTTTACTACAAAGTAGCTCAACCAGATTGAGATGAAAAGTGTCCGAACATTTTTTAAATTCTTCACTCAAATTCTAAAATGGGTTTCCACCTGGACTTTGACGGGTTGCTCTAGTTCACAATAAAAGGGGATTAAAAGCCAAACTATCTTTATTAGAAAAAGCTCTCATGAACTGGTTAATCACATAATCACTGCTGTTTTACTGTGAAGAGTTGAAAAGGTGCACACTTTTCCAAAACACTGTAAAAGTGTGGCATATTCAAAATCTGCCTCTGGTGATGGCATGCAGAGATAAATGGAAAGTTCTGACACGTGACATCAGCTTAATCTGATATAAGCATCATTGTTTATATGAGGAAGCCCTACAACACATGGTGGTATTAACCCATCATTAAAACCAAAGCAAAAGAAGACGGAGGTGCTGGTTTCCTTGGCAAACTCTTTGCAACACTAAAATGTTTGTATGATGAAGTAGATGGTACTCATTGCTCTCTGTAAGGCAGTATAAGAATTCACGTGAGAATATTGATCACAGTTGCTCTGTTTTCACAACAAACAGCTGACATATGATGACAGAGACTACTGACGGGCCAAACGGACGGATAAACAAGTCGGGTCGGCACGGACCTGCGACCACGGCAGCTTTGCCCAGCAGCGCCTCCTTGTACTTCCGCAGGCTCTCGTCATCTTTGTCCAGCTCCTGGATCTCCTGTAAGCTCTTCTGTGCAGGGGGTTTGTAGTTAATGTCCGATTCTTTCTCCTCGTTGGCCGCAGCGATCTCTTTCAGCTGCTCCGGTGTGAGGTCCTGCTCTGCCATGGTGCACTACACTGTGGAGACAGAGAGGGAGGGAACGATAAAAGATGGAGGAAACGGAAACGGGGCTGCAATTTTTTTTTCTTTTAATGAAAACTACAAGTGAAGCAAAGCAGCAAAGAGTCATGGCTGCTCGGTGAACTTTGACCTGAGGTCACAAGCTCTTATACAAACAAAGGTATGTTTACACAGTGAACACATAATTTAAACACTTCTAAGCACAGTTAGTCATAGTTTGGTTGGTTTAAATGGCATAACTTAGTCTGGCAACAATAACTTGAAGAATTAATAAAGCTGCATCCAAACAAAGAAACTTAAAAAAAAAAAAAAAAGCGGAAATCGGTATTGACCTGAAAACTTGATCAGTACACATCTTGTTGCAGAACCCTGGTATTGTTAAGAGTATAATTATTGAGAACAGCTGGTGTACAGATGCAGAGCAAAACTTAATGAGAGTCAAGCAACACCTGCAAACAACAGCTGGATTACACTGCAACCATAACTTTGTTCTTGACTTGTTCTGGTTTAAGACCTGAAGATAAGAACACATAAATCAACTTAATGTTTGTTTTTTTTAACAGTAGAACATTAGCAACATTACAAAACAACCTCAAACGCCTCAGTGACGTTTTTCAAGAATTCAATGTTGAACAGGCCTGGCTTGACGAGACAAGCAAGGATTTGAAAACGAAGGGTTTGAAAGAGTAAATCAACAGTGAGAAAGGTCCGCGACTCCATTAACATGAAATGGGTGAGAAGAAGATTGGAGCTGGAAGCAGAACTGTGCTGAAGAGAAAGAGGAAGGTGTCAGGACAAACAGTTTCCTCGAATTACAAATTACTCTTCCCACATAAAGACAATCATTTCGCCCTATAATTTATGACTCGCTAATCCGTTTGACATCCCAGGCGCTGTTTATCAAACACAGATAAACAGACCTAAACTCTCAGAAGACAAACAATCCTGATTGATGCCAGCTGATGAGGCTAGCTGCACCTGTCCAGAGGAGGCAGACGCTTAGGAGTCCAAAGCGAATACACTGCTGCTCATCTGCGTCCAAACCTCCACACATCTGGCGATTAGGAGCTCTGAACGCAGCTCTGTTTTCCCAGCTAAGGCCTCGGCGCACCCAAAAAAAAAAAAAAAATCAAAAAATTCCTTTGAAAGCGAGTGCATGTTTGGGCTGGTCAGCAGCGTTTGGAGGGAAACAAGGAGCAGATAAGGCAGAGGTGCTGTGATTTTCGTTTTTTAAGAGTTGGGTGAGCAGGTTGTTGGCTGTTTTTTTTTCTCTCTCTCTTCTCTTTTCTCGCTTCCTCTGCCTGACTGGTCTTGCAGCAACGCAGTGCAGCAGCATACCAAGCTGTCCCACAGCAGGAAGTGCTCAGTCAACTCAGTGACACACAACGCTCAACTGGAAACTACTGAAGAGGTCGCGCTGTTTGGGTAGAACTTCCCCATCTTTACCAGAATGTTTGTGTGGTCACTGATCCCAAATTGTGCACTTATTTTAAGACAGTTGTGACCTTTTTGGTTGTTAAAATTAACGCAGACAGATGAGGTAAAATAAGAAGCGGAAGCGAGTGCAGATCTACTTAAACTACATTTTTAAAAGTCCTTTTAATGAGATGCAGCAGAAGGAGCTCTGCAGCTGCACGCAGCTTCTTGGAAGATTTTCACTGAATGGGCAATTTGACACGAGAATTAAAGTTAAAATGAGCGAATCTGTAAAGCAGCAGACTGCTGGCTAGCATGGCTAATTAGGCAGCTGTTACCAGGTGATAAATATAAAATTAAAATAAGCTGTAGTATCATGTAGGACTGGAAATTATACAAATAAAACTGACTTTAGGTAGTGTTAATATTTGAATATTTTCTTTTTTTTCTTAAAATACCCATAAATAACTTTTTAAAAACATGAATAAGCCTATGAACATTGCATTGATTTATGCAGCGTGTTGAGCTAATTATTTCTAAAGTATTATGCAGCGATGGCAATATATCACATTATTTAGAGATGCCTTCTTAAACAAACGTGGCATTGCTGGTTTAGTCATTTAAAAAGGCCCACATGCTCCATATAACAGTCAAACAATGCTGACATCATCACCTTTACAATGACAGGGATTTTTTTTCTCTCTCTATCTCTCCCTCCAGTCTCCAACAATGCAAGCTGTAGTTAAAGTTGCCAGAAAGAGGCCCCGTCATTGTTGGGCCTGCTGGGAATGAGCCCCTTGCGGTCACAGGACTGAACGTTCTGCTGAACTTGGGCGTCTCTGCCGCCACCTGAACAGCTCCGCAGCCTGGATAAACTGTTTGCCCGAGCGGACTGAGCAAGCAGCAGAAAGTTACAAACACTCCAGACTTGGCAGTGGCTCAGGCAAGAGATTAGGTCCGTTCCTTAGGAACGCTGCAGAGGCTGTTGAAACATTGAGTTATGGCTGAGGAGGCGTTTTTTTTTTTCTTTCTGCAAAGTATAATTCTGCTGATTAAGGTATAATTGTTAGCAGGGGTCAGCTGTCCTTTTGTGGACAAACTGCTTTGACCGTCACCTGAGACACAGTCTCCCCCTTGCATAGCTGTAGTGTCCATGTTGCTGATGTAAGGTGTACATCGATACCCAAACTAATCAAGCACTGCCATTTGAGAAAGTTCAGTTTTCACAGGGCTGAGCAGAGATCATAAACGTGTTATTCTTCTTTAATAAAATCATCAAATTGCCTTCATGTTTTATGACCTACTGCCCTTTTAATGCTGCTTCTGATTTATCGCAAGTATACAACATTTAATTTAATCTCCGACAACCATGTCGTCTTTATTCATCGCCATTTCCAAAATTTTTGAAGTAAAGCTTAAACACAAAACCCTGTCAGGCAAGATTTCAGAGCTCCATCCACAAACATTTCTGGCAGGGGTGGGTGTTTATGTTCATGCTTTCCATTAAAGGGCAGAGACAAACTGGCCAAGAAGCCACAACAAAAATATGCGAATGCAGCTGAAATAGTAACTGTTGTAAGAGTTGAGATGAACCACTCAAGCTCTTCCTTCCGGATACTGATTTCTGTGTTTTCTTGTAAGTCTGGCCTGTCGGTTCAGTGGCTCCATGTGACAGAAAATACCATCGACAGCAGGTTTTTTGAGGGAGGTGCTTGTTTTAAAATCGAACATAAAACTAAATTACAAGGTTATTGCAATTCACCCAGGCAATCATATCTTGATTAGATATATATTCTTCTGTTACATTCATTTTAATCACAGGAGCAAACCTTGTGCTGTTGGGTGGCTCTAAGTTTTTGTTTTGATACATTTGGGGGCAAAAACCATTTGTGATCTTTTACCAAGTGACTGGTGCATCTCCATTTCAGTTTCAGTTTTGGATTCTTGATGTTTAGACAATGTTATTGAGAAAGAAAAAGAGAACAACTTTGAAGCAAGCTATGGCACATTCTGCTTTACAAGTTTCCAATGTTAAACTTTATGATCAACATAAATGCTCAATTTGCTCCAGGTCAGTGAGAATAATTAAAACCATTGTGATTATAACACAGCCGTTAACTTAGTGGTTTTGGTTTTGTTCTTTCAGAGATGCTGAAACACAGACCACTACAGGAGATTCTTGCCGCCCACAGCCATTACAATGTACAACTCTTCAAAGAAGAGTCTGATAATATGGAGTTGCAACATTTCATTTCTCCCTTAGGAATAAAAGGATTTTTGAAGCCCTAACCCAACTTTTTGTTTTTATAGAAGCGATATATTAATAATTAATGAGAAAAATATATCATGATGCAACTTTAAGCCCAAACAGCATTCTCTCATTAACATAAAAGCAGACCTAATATTGTGAGTTTTGTCCAAGATGACTGAATATACACTCAGCAGGCAGGAAGGAACTTAACGGGAAAAATAAAACGTTTGAAATCAGACATTTTGGTCCTCCAGTTCATAATGCTGCAACAAGGAACAAAGCTCATATTCACCTTAGTGACAACAACACAAGAACACGAGTACTGTTGCACTAATGACGACTGGGGAACCTGTGTGCTGTGACATTTAGCGGAGCTATGCAGCTGCTTTGATCCTTTTAGGTCGCTTGGCGCTGAAGTCTCTCCATGCAACACAGAGTGTAACCAAGACCTTTAGACCCGTCCTTTCTAACCAGCGCAGTTATGCTTCCTCATTACGCTTCTGCTGTACTGCTTTTGCAAGAAGACTGCCATGGCTGCAATCATGTTTAGATAGAGTCAAAATTTGACGTTTGATGAGGTGATGATAAAGTCGAGGGATGCATATTTTAAGAAAGAGAGCCTTGCATGCCAGAGAGCGCAGCGGCGGCCATTTTCTGCTGTCAAGAAGTGACTGCAAACTTCCTTTTTCATAAGAGGAGGAGCGCAATGATTCACATCCTTTGGTGTGCTAAACCGCAGCAGTGCAGAGATGAAGCTCAGCTCATCTTCTTTGTACTGCTAATAGATGCTTAAAACCAACAAAAAACGTTTCAAATGCAAAAAGAAAAGAAAAGAAACAGAAAAAAAACCCCACTGATACAGATGCTTACACCAGTAGACTCAATTATGTCGGATCCCAGTGAAGACATAAAGCAGAAATTGCCCAAAGCTTTGAGGAAGTGTTGCAGCGAGAGCTTAGGGCAGATGCAATGCAGAAGAGCTCAATGCCAACAGACTAAGGGGGGAGGAAGAGGCGACGGGGTATTTTTGGACAACTACGAGAAGGTCTGAAGTGGCTTGATAACCGCTATACATCTGCAAGAAAGAATTAGATTAATTTCGAATAATAAAAATCCACATAAAAAGCAGCCTGTGGGAACCGAAGATGCAAAACAAATATGTTCTGGGAAGGTCCAGAACAAAAAGGAATAAATAGTTACTGAATAGCGCCTGCAACTACAGAAAACAGTGAGAGAATGGGGGGTTGACAGGAGCTCAGGTGCAAACTACAAGACCTGCAACAATTAACGTAAAAATGAAATATGTAAAGAACACTCAGCCATATCTCAACTTAAAATTGTTGCATGATACCCCACAACTGGGGTGCTGGGGTTGTTTTATATTTTGACGGTTTACCAAAGCTGCAGAAGAAAACTATTTTCTAGCCTAACACAAGGACAGACGCTTCATTGTATGCAGAGGAGGCCGTCATACCTGTATGCCTTTCCCTGCAGAAATAGGTCACCGACACGATTGTTTAGAGAGGCAACTAAAGAGGGCTGCTCTGGCACGAGAGGATGAGGGACGAAATGTTTCCTACAACACAAAGATTTTTTTTAAAGCTGGAGAAGAAAATAAATTGAGAAAGACTCATTTTCCTCAATTGAAAGGTCAAAGTCCAGAAAACTCTTCATCTACTTTAATTAATCAAAATTTACCGTTCTCACTCTATAAATACATGAACTAACAGAATGCATCTATACAAAATCCCAAGTTTATTAAAAAACTAGATAATGGTTTGACTGGCAATATGAAGTTAAATTTATTCATCAACATTATCAATTTTTAACTTATTGTATTGTAGAAAAAGAAACCAGAATTGGCTTTTGTAGATTTTGATATTGGTCTTGAAGAGTCCCATCAGACCGTCAACGTTTTAAACTTTTAAAATTTGGTTCTGATTCTAGCATTACTCACAATGGAGCTGCTAGGAAGTTCAAACCTTTTTGTTTCAAATACAAAGCTTTTTTTCCTGTTTAAAAATCAACCTTCTTCGGTCTATCGGCATACACCAGAGAGGGAAGGAACCGCTCACCAAGACATCCGGCAATGCAAGCTTGCAGATTTTCAAGCTGAGCGGAAGTAAAAATTAAAAAGTTTATAGACAACCAAAAATATAAACAAATATGAAGCTTACAGAAGAGCTGAAAAGAACCCAAAACCGGTATTTCCTCAACAGGAAGGAAAAGGGAGGATTCACTGTTTAAGTGATCTCTTGTACAAATCTCTCGGCAGCCATTCAGTGAAACAAAAAGTCTCAAAATCAGGAAAAAAAAAGTCGATTGAAACCGATTTGATCAGAGCAAGTTGCCCTTGGGCACTTCACTGGTGGATGCTTTCAAAATAAAAAAACCCCCAAAAAACAAAAATGGAGGCAGGTTTAAGATATGAGCTTAATCAAATTTAAACAAGGGTGAGTACCAGGAAGTAAGTTCCAATGTTCTTTATAAAGCCAGCCACATGTCAAGGGCGTTACACATGCACTTCTTTCTTAAAGTTAACAAATGTAGTCACTTTATTTACACTTTTGGCCTTGCACTGGTTGATGCACGCGCTATATTATAAGTTTATTGTATTCAGAGGACACACTTACCTAACCGCCTACACCCGGAAATTCACGACTGACAACCGTCTACGTTCCTCGTTCAGGGCGGATAACTAAATGAGTCACTAATAAACTTCATAATAACGCTTTCAAACACTGATACTAACACAAAGTCAATTTAATTTTAGACGAAAACCTAAAATTCTTTCGACGGAAACTTGCGTTTTGGCAAACAACTAGTTCCGTTCAAAAACATTAAATTATAATTCCGTCCTGAAGCAAAAAAAAAACAAAAACATTACAGATGATGCGATACCAGCTAAGTGTTGTTCGCATTAAATTAAGTCAATAAAAGTCTCTGCGGGGTGTTTTCTGTGCAGTCTTACCGTTTCGCTTGTGGTTGGCTGGGCCAGTCTCCTGTGAATGAGAGTGAAGCTCCGCGGCGGAGGAAAATCTGAACAAGAGATATCACTGCCATTTCCGCATATTGTCCTTCAAAATAAAAGCATGCAAACGAAACATCTCCCACTGTAAATGTTAACCATGTTAACCACAACTATATTTTCTGAAAAACTCATAAAGAATCACACATCTTATATTTCCGAAACTCATAGCTGTGATGTATTCTATTAATTTACAAAAAACATCTTACCTTTTTAAATTATACATATATATATATATATATATATATATATATATATATAAAACTACAACATAAATTCCAGTAGCTGACAATGGATTAAATTGCTTTACTGGTTGATTGGAGTCAAGATTTGCACTCTAAATTGTGGAAACACTATCGAAAACGTGTTTATTTTTAAATATTGGTCTTCTGCCTTTTTAGCAAAGATTTTGGTAGGCATAAGTTGAGTGCACCCAAAAATATTAAAGTATTTTAAGGACTTAATAAAACTTGAGATGCGTGTTTTCCTCCCGGGTGGAGACTTACTTTAATTCTGAAAATCCCACTGGAAGTGGTTCTTGCAAACCCTTACAGGAAATGCTTCCTGAAACTATCACTGACGCTTCTGAGTTTTTACAAATTTGAGCCCGTATTGTTCATGTCACAATTAAATCCGTTTGAACCCAAACACCATTTGCACCAATGCGTTTCTTGTACGTCTCCATATATGGACTCAGATGTGGTGTCAGCCCAACAGAGGCCCACACTTGGGCGGGAAAATCTTAATACCAGACGACATCTAGTGGTTGTATTCTGGCATGGCAGAATTATCGGGTCTATTAAAACCTTCAGTACTTGACATCAGTTAAACAGCCCAAAAAGTAAAAATATTTCCACAAGCATCCCAAAAAGATTAACTTTACATTTCGCATAGTCGAACACCAAATACATACATCTTACATACATACATACAACTACCAGTGATGAGGATTTTTTTTTCATAACATATGGTGGAACATTATATGCAACAAACCAGATACTACAAATTTATAGATACATAAATCCAAGACTTTTTGGTTAATATACATTGCAGGTTTTATTACAAGTTTCATTAACTACAGGGCAGAAGGGAGCTGGGATACCCCAGTTCAAAAACCTACAGTCAAAACCATTTTTTTTTCCATCAAAAAAAATAAAATAAAATAAAAAAAATTAACAAACAGGTAAAAAACACTTTGGAGTATTTAAAAGAAGAGGCTGGAACACTTTCAAATCACATCAGAAGACAAGCGTGTGTAAAATATTCTGCACATTTGTAACAACCACCCTCTTCTGCACAGAAAGGAAGGGAAGACAACTAAGAGCGTCATTTAACTGGTGTCCATCTGGTGAAAAAAAAAAAAAAAAAGTCATCAAGACAGGTGTAAAATATTACCAAGTGAGAGCTACTGTAGATTGTAAACTGGACGTACCCTGGCGTTGTAGGCGTCTAATTGTGCATCAAGCTCCTCTGCTGAAAGCGGTTTGGTTCCGCCACCTCGGCCACCCCGTCCTCTCCCTCTGAAGAAACCTGAACCACGGCCACCTCGACCTCTTTGCATGCCGAAGGTGCGATTTCTGTTCATGCCCCCAACTACAACCAGTCTGAAATAAAAATTAAAGAATAAAATCCAATGTACCCATATTCTCTAAAAAAAATAAATTTGTTTGCCAAGTGTTTTTAATGGCGATAACTGGACCTGCAAGTAAGTAATTCAGTGATCAATCATTCTGACCATCAGATCAAGTTTGACTAAGTTGAAAGCAAAATATACAAACATCTAAACGTTTTAAATGAAAGACATTTAGTGCATAAATACAGCATGATCAATCATTTGTAGCAAAAAATGCGTTTCCAGCTATTTACATGTTAAATGCTCAGTACTTTCTGCTAGCCTTAGCATCAGTACAAAGTAGGCTAATATGTTCATTACTTTTTCCACCAATTGGTTAATGAATTGATAGAAAAAGTTGTTTAACATGAGATTTTTCTTTCACACCAGGTGAAGCTAAAACTGTGCCTACTGAGTTTTATGCGGCAAATTTAGAGTTCTATTTTTATCTCAAATCCAAAATGTATATATTTTTGTACAGATTCAGCTTAATTATTCCTATGTGTTATTTTTCAACAAATGGCCTTTAGAGCCTGTACTCTCCGGTTAATTAACCAATCACTAAATTAATTGACATTTTAATAATCGATACACTGTTAATTGTTTCAGCTCTAATCAGAATCATGCAAAATATTGAGAACTTTACCATCAAATACAGAACACACATACAAAATGATGAATAATAATGCAAGTTCATAGGAACAAAATGCCTTGGTTAAAAATAGAAGAACAAGTTATAATGGCAACATAAGAAATGACCATTGGAAGCAACCCTAACTCACCCCTGCATAGGCCGCCTCTGTGTGTCAATCTGTGATGTGACGAGTTGAATGTTCATTGGTCGCCCTACAAAGACAAATTGAACATCATACATAAAAAACATCAGTGCATTTTGTAGGTTTGAGAAAAAAAAAAGAGAGCTGAATTTCTGGCCAAAAATTCCCTTTAATTTATTGTTTTAACACAGGGTCAACCCAAATCCTCCAGCTATAAACACAGGTCAAAAAGGAAACATTTGCAGAAAGAGTAAAGAAGCAGCAAAACTTAACATACTTAAATTCTGGCCATACTAAAGACCAATACTATGATAAGGCCCTGCGGGAACCCTTTTTAGTTCCAACTCTACCTCTAACCCATGTTATAAACATATGACGCTTTGATCCGAATCGTACCATCAAGTGGGATGCCATTATATTGCTTCATGGCCTTCAGTGCATCTGCTCTCCTCTCAAAATGGACATCAGCTGTTCCCAGGCTTCTTCCTGAGCGGTCATAATGAACAGCAGCCTTCTTCAGAGTCCCAAATTCAGCAAAAAGTTCCTAAGAATAATAAAAAAAGTTTATTTTTATCCGTTAGACAACAGAAAGCATAGACAACCAACGACCGCAACAAAACGTAATGTACCTGAATGTCTGCGTCTGAAACACCAAAGTCCAGATTGGAGACAAGGAGCTTCCCTCCAGTTTCCACACCAGCTCCTCCGCCACCACCGGCACTACCATTAAAGCCTCCGAAGCCGTTGTCGAACATGTCGTGCTGCCACTTGTCAGGGAGCTGTTTAGGCTGCAACAGAAGAAAGAGAACGCACCTGCTGACTTCAGGATCCCCTTGCCTCTCTGTCAATCACAGAGTCCACACGTCTGGGTGTTGGGGCAAGCATGGGCTCCACTTCCAACATGGCCAGGGTGGTCAGTTCCCTTATTGTAGGAGGGGTTGGTCCCCAAAACGTTCCCTGCCCACCCCATCACTACAAGCAAGTGAATCAGTTCAAACAGACAAGATAGCTCATTGAAAGCAAGGGGATATAGTGGACATTACATTTATAGGACAGACACAAACTGATCCTTAAAAACATTACAAAATCTCCTTAAACTATGACTGCCCAAAGTCAAAGTAAAAATAGTGCAAAGTGAATTTCATAGCCCACACCCCAAAAAAAAAAAAAAAAAAAAAAAAAAAAACTGCACACTAAACCTGAAAACTGCCCATACTAGCTACCAGAAGTCCCCACTGTTGTGATGCCATCTGCGCCGCCTTCAAAAGGCCCTCCAGAGAGGCTCCGTTGATGCACCGGGGTCTCCATCTGAAGCAGCCGCCTCCAGCGCTGAACAGCCTGTCCTTGACCACCGGAGAGTTCTTTGTTGTCTTGCGAATGTGGATAATGTCCATATGGTTGAAAAAAAAATATATAGAAAAGGGACCCATGCCCTTCTTTTTACTAGCGTGGATTATGCGAGCGTCCATTTTGAGACCACGCCATTTTGACTGGGGCTTTGTTTGGGTTTTTTTCCCCCGAGGCACTCTTTAATAGCCAAAGGATGGCGAATTGCCTCATATGGAATTTATCAGGGTGTTAAAGTCCACTTTTCCATCCATAACAGCCAGCGAGAGTGGTTGAAAAGCCTTCGAAACAGGCCTCGATAAACCCGCCAGCCACTCCCAGAACAAAAGGCCGCCTGGTTGACGAATAGGGAGAATCGTGGTGCTCTCATTAGTAGGAAAAACTCGTCTGAGGGTCAGCATTCTCGAATATGTGGTTTTCTTCTTTCCAATGCAAGCTGGGGAGCAGTTATCGCCTCCAACGTCTGGCTTTAAATTTCGGGTACTGGATTCAAAATGGCGCCGTCGAGGCCTAGCCGTCCGCTCTTCTTGGAAAGTGGTGTAAAACCATTTGGCTTGTGGGAGAAGGGACGCGTTATACAAACAACTTCCATTCATGCTTAACCGCAAACTACAGAGCTTCCCCATGAGGGAGAACTCGGCGGCTAGCTTTCATTTTTCGCTTGACTTAGCAAGCTGGCAAGAGGATTAGCTAGAAGCTAACTGAAGGATGTTAACCGGGAATTTTCAGCCGTGTCGAAGGTTTTTTTTCCCCCTTTGACTGCTTATTCCTCTAACATTCTCATACCCTGCTGTAAGGCGTCGGCCTGCCTCTAGCGCGGTTCAGGTTCTGTCGATTCCTCATGGGGCCGGATCCGCCGCCACGGCCTCCAAATCCTCCACCGCCGCCGCCTCCAAGTCGCCCGGGGCCTCCTCCTCGGCCGCCGCCTAAGCCCACACGGCCACCTCTGCCGCGGCCTCTTCCTCCCCGGCCTCCACCTCTCTGCTGCCTGTTCTGCTTGATAATCTCATCTAGAGACATATCCATTTTATCGGCCATTACTCTGCCCAAATAATACTAAACTGTGAGGAAAATATAAAATGTACACCCTAGACTCTGTTGGTCCCGCTCCCTGCCCTTCCACAGAACTGCACCGTCGACTGAACACACACAATAAGCTAACGCCCACAGTATAAACAGCCTCATTACGTAACACGTGTATTCCGACGTCATCGCGTACATCAACGTAAAGGGAAAACGCGCCCTCTTCTGTTTGGTTAAGTACATTTAGCCACGCGCCTGACTCTTTATGGAAAAGGGATAAACCGGCCATTATTTAAAGAAAACCATGAGATATGAGATACCCATTTAAGTCACGTTAAATGGAATATAAATTACGTTTTGACCAGCATACTAAACACGTCATATGGAAGAAAACTACAATACACAATCCGTGGTACACCACTTCCATAAAAAAAAAAACAGAGAAACCAGTCACTGCACATACCTTCCAGTTCATTGTCCGTGACAAAATCTTAATAAAATACTGTTTGTGGTTGTTGCTTTTTCATTCATGCCCACTTTTGAAGATTCAGTAAGGAAACTTGCCATTTTTACACTTAAAAAGCCAAATTGAATACCTTTTGTCACAGCTTTAACAAAAGGTAAATAGAACAGTGAAATCTTGCTAATATACATCAATAGGCTTAAAATTGATGTTCTACAAACAAAATTAGATCTTTAATTCTTAACCTCACCTTCATGTAATCCAAATTTAATTTTAGTTAAAAATGGCCACCTATGTATTACTGGGAAATTCGACACAATATTTGTTTTATCATTTGGAAGTGATCTGAAGTTCATGTAATTCAGTGATGTGGGACTACAAGCTATCAATATTTATGTAGGATCAATAGATACAAAGCTACTGTAAAAGTCTTTTATTCAACATTTTTGTTTCAAGGCTTTGAGCAGAGGTTAACTAGGGTTGTAAAATTAAATCCACCAAGGGCAAGAGACAATTTAATCAAAATGTTGGCCTCCTACATTGTATTTTGGCTTCCAATACTTGCCCATAACATGTTTTCAAATATGGTTGTTTCACAATTTATCAATCTATTTTCCGCAATGAAATAGATAAGAAGTGATCCCCTTTACAATTTCTTCAAAAACATATTTAAATAGTTTTACTATTGTTTAAGACTTCAGCCTTTGTGTCCTGTTGGCCTTCACTCTGTGCTTCAGCAACAGTTGTCAGCAAATTTTGATTAACCCCCTGGAGCAGTCTCATCCACACCACAAGCATCAATATGAACACTTTGATACCTGGAAAGATGAGAAGGGAAAATTTGTTCCCCTTGGAACTGCAGTTTGTTTTTTAGTCATTGTCAACAGAAAGAAAAAAAAATCAAGTTGCTATGGTCCATTGTATACAAATGAGATTTGTATTCTGTGTTAGACTTGCCAACAGGGTCAAGTTTCTGGCTGTCAGAGGGCAGAGAAACAAAAAGTTCTTGAGGATAATGGATGAAAAAAAAATGTAACAGGAACATGACAGAAAAAACTAAGACTTCTTGGAGTCCTGTGTGTTGCGTTTTTTTAGGTCACTCAGGTCCACTGGTGTGAAAGCTGAAAAAACAGACAAGAAAGAGACATTGTTACAGCAGTAGACTGGTTTAATCCATTTAGGATGACATTAAAAAGTATATTTTAAAATAAAATTTATTTAGAATAAAATCTATTCTGTTAACTTACAATGTAGGTTAGGGTTTGGATTTTTCTCCACATACTCCTGTGGTCCACGGTCATTGCGTTCACTATTTTGTGTTGATCTGATATCTCGGAGCACACACTGCCAGGCTGGGAGAAAAAATATGAAGAGAACAGGATAATATTTGTTACATGTAGGAGCCACGAAGGACACACTGTAAGATGGTCAGAAGAAAGTTCATTTTATGCAATACTGGCCATAAAAAAAAAAGACGCTGAAATAAATATACAGATTGAAACATTTAAAATTTCAACGGGAGTTTAATGTCTAAAAGATGTTTTTATAAATGCCAATATGTTGCAAGAAGGTCCAATCAAGACTTTTCTCGGACAATGCTATTCAACTTTAGTCCCAAGATAGATTTTTTTTAAAATTTTGATACAAAACTATAGAACACAGTACTTACTATCATGTATAAAGCGCACATTCTCCTCATGTGCTGGAGTAAACAGCTCCCCACTGTTAGTCGGAGATCTGGGGCTTGAGGTCCTCTTGTAACTATTCACCATCCTGGGAGCAGATGAGCTTCACACAAATACAAAGAATAAAATCAGTAACTAAGCAGCAAGCTACTCTTGAAGTACAGTTGACTATCAAACACTTGACTTCTACCATGACGTTTTGCAGACCTGGTCATTCTGTTTGCAGTCTGTACTCGCTCCTTGCTCCTCTGTGGTGAGTGGATTTAGAGGGATGCAACAACTCGAAGTCCTAAACTTAAACCCAACAGAACCATTGTAAGTATTTTATCAGAATATTGGACTTTCATTTTAGTTTTACATACATAACAAGCAATTTCTTTTGATCAAATCCGACAGGTTTGATCTAACTTGCAGCTCCTTGCTAGCTAATCATTTCAACTAAATTAGATTATGTAATTAAGGCACGATACCCCATTACACAGCAGAAGTATTCAGTGGCTAACAGAGTAGAGTGTTTCATTTAAATCTATACTGAACAACACGTCTGCAACGTAATGGGTTAGCTAGAAAATGAGCTTTTGTTTACGTTTTGACTCGAGTAGCTTCAATGATGTTAGCTGTTGGTAACACGAGGAATTATCACTAAATTTTGGCAAAACTAAACGTAACTAATATTGTTTTCTGGCATGCTGTTATCATATGGGGTGCAACCAAAACATTTCAAACATAGTCATTTTACCAAGCTATCAGTAGCCTTGCAGCTAGCTAGTAGGCGATTTACATTGTTAGCTTGTTCCAGCTAATAGGTCTGAGTTGTTACTCGCCATAACAATACGTTCATGCTGTCCTTTAAATACGCGTTAAGATAAACAACAAACCTTCGTTGAATTCTTTCCTTTATTTCTTTATTCAAAGACTTAGTACGCCGAAAGATGTGGCTAAAGAAATTGTTGCCAAGGCCAACCAATCACTTCCGGGAAGAGACGCGGAAGAGATATGAAAGACTTTCAAAACAACTAATAAAATTCTAAAAAACAATAATAATTAGTACAAACTTAAAAACAAAATTATTCTTATTCTTTACATAATTTTTTTTATGTAAAAAAGTTTATAATAATAATAATAATAATAATAATAATAACAATAATAATTATGTCGATAATAATAATAATAATAATAATAATAATAATAATAATAATAATAATAATAATAATAATTATTATTATTATTATTTCTTTACATTACCATATCTCTGTTTTCATTGAGAAACCTTAATTGGACACAAAATCTAAAAAAAACAAAAAACAAAACAAAAAAAAAATGTAAACTTGATTTGTTTTCATATCTTTTTCACTAAATTTTTTTACCACTCTGTGTTGTACAGTGACAGACATATTCATACTATCGTTCACACATACACGCAGTGCTTTTTTTATACTCTGACCATCTCATGTTTCTTGAAATCCACTCTGAGGTTTCCGGTCCTTCCCAAGGACAATTTGGAGAGCCAGCAACTGGACCATCAACTGTGATTTCATTGCGTCATTTTTCCCCCCGAGGTTTGTTGTTGCTTTCCATAATAAAACTGCTACAGCCTTTTATTTGTAAAAAGTCCTTTATTTATAAAAAGTACAAAAATAGTAATTGTACTGAAAATTATAAGACTTCAAATTTTTTGTCTTTTTACAACAAACAGTGAAATACGTTAGTCAAAATGCTGTGGAGGTGCGAGAGCTTTCACAAAACAACACCTGCATTTTTAAGCTTTCTGAACAACATACAAGTAGGTTGTACCAATCTGATTGATCCTCTTTCTGCCCAGCAGTGAGGGTGCACACCATTGTACAAAACACTTAATCAAACCAGATTCTTGTGTAGATTTAGCCATGACTTGAGAGCACACAGTTTACAGCCTGCATCAAGTTATACAGAAACATAGCACAAACACAAGTGATAAAAGATTGTAACAGAAAAACTCAGAATTTCTCCAAAAAATAAACCTATTATTAAGATTCAGGATTATGGACATGTCCTGAATCACATAACAGACTTCCATACAATCTTATTTACAGCTCTGATATGAGTTATTCGAAATATGTCATAGACAATGAACTAAGAGAAAATACTCCATTGCAATAAGTTTTGTGTTGTATAAGGTGACATTTAAAAAAACTCAATAACCTTCAGAGACGATTTGCACTTCTGAAAATGTTGCTTTCCAAGATTGGAGGCATTGCACAAGCTGCAGAAAAATGCTTCATCGGCATTACTACACATTTAATTTTACGATATTTAAGCCTTTTCTCTCCCTCGGGTCCACTTGTTCTCAGACACAGCCTGTCTCAAACAGTTTAGCCAGCTCTTTGCAGTCTGGGTCAATGAGGTCTGCAGGTTTTTCTCCACTTTCATTCTCCGCTTCTGTGCTCGCTCCCATTGACAGGAGATACCTAAAAAGAGCAGAAAATAGTGTTGCAAAAGTCAAACAGAGATTTTTACGATCTTTCTAACAGCATTTATAGATTGAAGTGGCTATCTGTGTGGCCTTGTTTCTATAAATTCCATGTAAAAGCAGAAATAAGCAATGAGTTTCTTGCCTCTGAGGAATTTAATCTTAGGAAGATTTAATTGTTGCCCATCCAAGTAGTTGACATGGGAATGTAAGGAAACTACCTGGCAATTTCTGGGTAGCCGTCACTGCAGGCCATATGCAGTGGTGTCCAGCCGTCCTCGTCTCTCTGGTGGACATCAGCGCCGTATTTAATCAGGAGTTTCACCACCTCCAGGTTTCCCGTTAGCACGGCTTCGTGCAGAGCAGCCATACCTGCACATATGCAAAAATAAATCCCATGCGTTTGGGTATACATGTCACTCTTCTGCTAATAATTATAATTTCCAATACCATAGCAGTAGATGAGCACCTGCCAGGGGAATAGAAAAAGACTTCGCTCACCAGAGTGGAACAGTGTGTCCACGCGGACCTTCCTTGCTCTCATGAAGCGTCCGATTTGCTCCAGATCCCCTCGCCTGACGATGTCCTGGAAGATGATGTCATTGGGGAAGTGCACAGTCCTCTTTGCAGGTGCCACAGGTATTACAGGTGCAGGGTTTTCCTTCGCTTGAGTGCGACGTGTTGAGGTATACCTTGAAACCTTGCTGTATGAGGGGACGTACGTCGATGCAGCTTTGTAGGTGGACGTGTAAAGTGACGGGGAGTAATACATGCTACTCTGTGTCGTTGGGGTGTACTTTGATACAGCGGCATACGTGGATGTCGGCGTGTAATGCGAGGGGCTGTAGCAGGAAGGTGAGTGGTACACTGGGGTGTACTGTGAACTTCGTGCGTAGGTGGACACCGGTGTTGGGTAGTTGTACTTCATCTTTGCAGATGTTGCACCTCCTTTCTAGATCAAAAGGAGGGAAGTAGGAAATCCCAGAAGGCAGAACAATCCAAGGAATTAACGGTATCCTTTTACGATGCGTCCTTTTCCCCCACTAATAAATAATACCAACTGTTTTCAAATCTTCAAAGTCTATATTCTTCTTCTTTTTTTAGCCGTTTATGTCCTCCAGTCGAAGGTTCATTTCGCCTCCTTCAATCTGAATTTGCCAAACAGTATGCAGACTCTTGCACAGAACGGTGGTCTACTGGAGCAACCGGGGCTGCATCCCTATATATGCTCTGTGGTGCTATTTTAGGTCTTAAAATCCAATGACTTCAGCTTAGAAATGAGTGACCCATGGCAGGCTCCACCCAATTTGGTCACATGTCCACTGACACTGTACCTGCCCCTCGATCATAAAAATGTTGACAGCCACAAAGTTCTCTTAGTTTTTCCTGAGCCAAACCGATGTGGAGTGCTGATATAAACAACTATAATTAACATCTGCTGCACTATGACTTATTTTGTTTATGCATGAAAAACAGAAGAGCAGAATGATAAAAAACAAATTGAACAGCTGTACAGGAGTAAACAACAACACATGGTCTAAAAGAGACTTGTTGTTTGATATGGTTACACGCAGTGACCTGAGGTCAAGAAACATGACATGTTTTACATTTTCTCAAACTGTGGTTTAAGTATCACATATGTGACTCAGACAAATTGCAGCAATATTCTGAGGACATTTTATGTTGTAACTATTTGACCAGTAAACAACATGAAGTTCAAGCCAGGGATCAAAATTAGAAAGAAAGAGCATTTGAGTGAATTTGAATGTAACATGGTGAGAAACTATTGCTAAAGATAAAGGGAGAGGTTTTAAAGTTGCAGAAAAATTGTATTTGCTTTCCTGTGGTGTACTGCCACCATGTATTTGTGTATAGTTTAATACTGCACAATTTAATTTGTAAATCTGTCCTTTTAACAACAGACAGATTTGCAAATGAAATTGTCCTCATACTGTATGTAAAACGTGCAAAGTGCTCCAATCTTTACACTGTAAGTGTGAAAACTACTAGGACAGTTGAGCTGTATTAACAGCTATGATAATTTTCTATCTCTGATGGTGGGTGTTCCCTAGAAAACTAAATGCTATAATTGATATTAAGTGCAGAAATTAAAGAAAAATATTTGTTTATATTAGTTCCAGGGCATACATTCATGTGAAAGCAGATTTTTCATTGTTTGGATCTCTTTTTGTTGATGATTACAAAAGACATTACATTAAAGTTAGAAGAACTTCTGCAGCCATTTAAACCAGACTCTCATTTTTAGATAAAAAAGAAAAAAACCTGTCATTTTAGTAGGGCTGTGCAGACGTTTAACATCAAGTGTATATTTTAGTACTTAGTATTTTAGAAAGTACTATTGCCCCATTGAAAACCTCATGGTTATTCCACCAAATATTGATTCTGAACTCTTCCTGGGATAAAACATCAGTATTGTTGTTTCTAAATGACTTTATTATTTGAGGCCTGCATACACTGCATCTTTTTTGTTATTTTGATCATTTCTCATTTTCAGCAAATAAATACTAGGTCTTTGCTTGGAATTTGAGACATGCCTACAAAAAGTGAAATCAGATAAAATTATAATTTTAAGTGGTCTCTTAATTTTTTCCAGAGCTGTATGTACGGTCCTCTTTTCCAAAATGTAGAGAAATGTGGATTTAATGTGATCCACTTGACTATTAAATATATGCTATCTTTGTGTAGCTACAGCCTAATGCTTTTTCACCTTGAGGACTGGTTGAAAAAACAAGTTGAAGGAGGCTGAAGGCTGGACGTTTTGGTGGGGCAAGTTCTTGAGACAGCTGTTCTGTTGTACAGTGTCTTATTTGGCAATGCCTGAGTATTCCTGACGCACCTTTCAGCGTCTCCAATGGCACTTGGCAGCAATGCGCTTGGCAGCAAGAAATGTGAACTTCCGCTTGCTGGAAATGTTTGTTTGTCTCATACCAGAGTGAAAGTCACACACGTTGCCACTTCTCGCTGAACATAGAGTCAGACTACACCCAACGTCTGACCATGTTGTCCTTTAGAGCCAGCATGGCCAATTGAACAAAGTTGTAAACAAGCAGAGTGACTAAAATTCGAATATCAAACATGTCTGTCGTGAAGTGAGGTGTAGGTGGTGAGGAGAAAAGTGGTAGACCCAGATTGAAGTGAAGGCAATGATGATTTAATGATGAAAATCTCAACAAACCAGGCAGCACAGGTGAGCAGAAGCAACAACTCACACAGGTAGTAAGTAACTGGACTCGACTTGAAGACCAGAGACAAGGACCTGACAGCAGACAAGAAACACAGGTGGGTATAAATACAAAGGGGGTAATCAGGGAACGAAACACACATGGGAACAATCAAGGGGTAGACAGCACAAAACAGAGACTCAAAAGACACAGAAACCTAGAATAAACACACAGAAAAACTCAAATCCCCACAATGTCTACCTCACATACTAGCACCAACCCTGTGCAATTTAGGTACAGGGTTGTTTTTTATTGACTACATTAATATTTGTTTTTGAGCCCTTTTTATAGGCCCAGTTATTAAAAGGAGGTATTTTGGCTTCTTGCCTTCAACGGGGTCATTGTGCACACATTTCAAAAACAGGGACGGGAAAGCAACCAGTCACATGCAAGCGAACACACACCACTGAGGCAACAACGTTCGATACGCATGTTTCATACCTTCCTTATTTAACTTGTTTGTTGTATGTTTTATGATTAGTCCATGGAAGCCCACATGTCAACCTTTGTCTTTGGCAGATTAAACTGTTTCATATATATCCTAACTGAGTAAGCTAACATTGTTCGTAATATGTTGTGCTCTGATCCTCTATAGCAGTTTTAACATCAAGCATAAAATAAAAATGCATTCCAATGCAGGCAGATCAAAAAGCCATGGAGCAAATAATGTTATTAGTGAAGTGATAGTTGATAGGAAAAGCGAACAACTAAACTGCCCTCTGTTCTTTAAAAAACATTCAAGGTAAAATGATATTTTAAACTTAAAAAAAGAAAAATAAACATGAATAATTGACAGTAGAGTTTTTCACTGTATTTAAAGCTGATTTTTTTTTTTTTTATAAAAGTCTATAAAAAGGAAAGCATAGCCATATTTAAGTGGTACAAAGTCTGTCTTGAAGCCTGTGAGAGGCTGTAAAACATGTATTCACATATTAAATTAATCATTGCCAGACCTCAGTTGGTAGTAGGTGTTGTTTGCGAGCAAAAAGTTATTGATGTAAGAAAATGCTTGGTTGAAGTGACCTTTTAAGGGAAAAACAAAATTTTCATTTGGAACTAGTTTCTTACATGCTGGTCTCAAAATATCTATTTGACATTTATATTACTCTAGTTTAGTTAAACATTTAAACGAAACAAGAAACGTTTATGTGGAGAAAAGTGAGAGTTGCAAACCACTGGATGCCTTTGCAATTTCTTAAAGTATTTGTGACAAGCAGTCATTTGCCACTTTGACTTATTTGCAGAATCTTTTTTTATAGCTTTTTTGTAGCCTTCCTTCTGCTCACTGGACAAAACGCTTTCTCAACCTTCAGTTTATAAACTCAAATTTAAACCAAAGACTTTTTTGTTGCTGCTTGTCTCTTGTGTGGTCACATTAGTCCCTGAGTTTGGAGTTCTTCCTCACTTTTGATTGCACTCTGGTTGCCTTGTGAAACCTTTGTTTTGCAATTTCTTAAAGTATTTGTTCAATTTGGACATACAAATTATTACAAGTATTAAGAGCTACAGATTACAGGTTAAAAAGAAAAAGTTATACAAGTTGTATGTCCTTGAACAAAATAGCCACGTTCTAAATATTCAAACTTGTTTCCAGTCCTGAGAGTCTAAATGCACTTATATTTAAAATACATTGTTTTCCCCGCTTTTACTGATGTTCAGGATTTTTGCTCTGTTTTCAGGCAGAGAAGACAGAGAGAATGGAGGAAGAGCCAAAGATGAGACAATTTTTTTTTAACAATAATCCTTTAGTAAAGCTAATCTATCTGCAGAAAATCCAGCTGTGGATTCTTTAAAACTCTGCTGAGATTATTGATGGAAGTAAGAGGGAGGTTGGTTGGAACTTTAACTTCTAAAAATATGAGTTGTGAGAAATCCAGCCTGTGCTTTTAAAGGTCAGTGTGACTTATGCTCAGTGCTTTTATATTACAAGGCAATGGAACAGCTCTTGTATTTGCCATCTTAATTCGATATATCTTGCAAGAAAGACCACCCCCCACTGCCAATAAATACAGTCCCAGCGGCTTCTCCGAAACCTCTCTGCTTTTCTAGTTACATGTAATGTCCGGAGCAGTGCTGTGGCTCTGGTCAGTCAACACACAAGCACACCTGGACCGCTATAAGCACAGTGGGGATTAGCCTGAGTCTGGACCTGAATGGTCCACTGGAGGACACTCGCTCAGGTCGACAAGTTTCAAGTTACAGCACGCGCAGAGGGCAGAAATAAGGGAGTTGGCATCTAAATCTGGAAGCAGTAATCCCATGTGGGTTAGTGGGAAAGAGGGGACACCGTGATGTGTGCTTCAATAGAGGTGATTTCTTTATGGGAAATTCAAAGCGAAACGCAACAGCCTCTGATAAAAAGAAAATCTCTGGCTACTACGTTGTTGGTGGTTCAGATTACAGCATATCAAATGTGATTTCTAGGTATTTGCTAGAGATCTTCTGTTGAACTCATGACCAGATTCCTGGCAGCCTCAGTTTTATTTCTGTCTGACTCTACAACAGACTTTGCAGATTCGGTTCTTATTTTAGCTTAGTAATCCCCCCCTCCCCCACCCCGGCTGGTTGTAACATTTTCCTAGAAATTAAAACCACTGAGGCAAAAAGCAAAGTTCTCATTTTACCAGGCTGTCTACCTTCTGACCCTCAGCTGTAGTTGATCCAAAAGAACAAATGGCTCAAATGAGCCATTGAGAAACTCTGTCATCCAAGCTGCTGCTTCCTCACATGAAATAAGGTTAGTTGAGGTGGTTTGGACGTCTGATTAAAATGCCTCCTGGGTCCCTGTTTGGAGATTCTTCTTCCCAAAGAACCTGGGAATGCTTTAGATTCAGAATGATTCCTATAGATGTCACCAGATGGAGGGATCTCTAGGATTCTCACTGGATCTGGATGGATGAATTGATGGATGAAACAATATTTATACAGTTATCTAAATG